TAATGGGGAATGAAAAAGCCGACGCCGCAGCGAAAGCTGCGGCATGTGAGAGAAACCCAATACTAATTTATGTACCCGCTCGAGATCTGAAGTCAGTCATTTCCAAATACGTTCGCAATACGTGGCAGCACATGTTCGACCAACATCTCCACGCTTTCAGGGAAATCAAGCCCCAACTAGGTGATTGGGAATCCTCCCATCGCCGAAGCCGCTTCCAGGAAGTCGCCCTTTGTAGGCTTCGGTTGGGTCATACATACGCCGCACACTCGTTTTACTTGACGCGTAGGGATGTGCCACGGTGTGATAGATGCGGGGACCGGTTGTCTGTTGAACATGTGCTCGTCTCATGTAGGCGCCTTGAGACGGAGAGGCGACGATTTTTTCCTCCAGCGCCCCTTCATCGGTTACTCGGTCGAGACCCATGTGGTGAACTTGGAGACATACTCGCATTTTTAGCACACATTGACTTTGACGTTATTTTCACTCAGCCCTCAGTGTAAGTGCGCCAGTGATGCTACCTGTCATCAGCTGACAACACACTTATCGCGTCGTCGCAGAGGTAGATAACCGTCATCGAGTGGGCGCAAAATGGCCCCGATGCCGACGCGCCCTTAAAACACAAATCACCACCATCACCAAGAAAGAAGACACAAGATGGAAGACCCCAGAATGATCGAATGCGCTCGAGCAGATGAACAGATTAGGGGGAGGGAGTGACAAGAGCGTGGGGGCCTTCATTCAAATGCGAAACACCCCGACACAATGTGGAAGACCCCGGACGATCGAGCGTATCCGAGCAGGCTAACAGATAGGGCCCCTGACAAGAGCGTAGGGCCCTCCGCCCAAATAGGAAGTACCCAAGACCCAGTGTAGATAGCCCCCGAACGATCAAAGGTGCCCGAACAGGCTACCGGAAGGGCCCCGACAAGAGCGTGGGGCCCTCCATTCAAATAAGAAGTGGCTAGGGTCCAGTGTGAGGGGCCCGAAAAAGATGGAGCGTACCCGAGCATGTTATCAGATGACCCCGACAAGAGTGTAGATTCCTACATTCAAATGTCAAGACTCAGTTTGCAGGGCCCCCGAGCAATCTAGTTTGTTCAAGGAGGTGAACCGATGGGGTCCTCGACAAGTGCATAGGGACTTCCATTCAAATAGGAAGTACCCAAGACGTAAGGTGGAGCCCCCCCCCCCCCCTCCCACCCCCTCCCCCGACCGATCAAGTGTATTTGAGCTGGTTATCAGAAAGAACCCGATAACAGTTTAGTCTCAGGGTGTCCTCGAACGATGCAGCATAGCCTCTGATATGTCAGGTCACAATCATACGGCTGCCATTCTATATGTGACCCGTAACCAGTCTATATGTGAAGGTCAGTCCGCAGCCAGTCTTTCGGGCCCGTATGCTCCCTAACCGGGCCTTTGATGCACGTTTTTGTTTGGCCGCCCGGGCCCCCCCTTCGGGCCTCATTGAACACCGCCCTCTGTCGGTCGGTGCCCCCTGCTAGCACGGGGCCCTTTGTTAGGTGATGTGGCCCTGACAAATATAGGGGCCCCGACGAGTGAAAATCACTGGCCCCGGCTTTGTAGCTGATTTGGAAATGGGCGCTCAGGTCCATACCGACACGGAGCCGACTGCGCGGCACAGGTGGTACCTGACCCATATAGGTCCGTATCGACACGTGGGGTCCGCGATCGGTGCAAAAGGCTCTGTGACATTTGAGAGCTTCTCCACGCAGGCGGGGTCGCCTGCATAGGACTCCGACCAGCCCTTCGTGCCCTTAGACCCTTTAATCAAGCCCTTGATCGTCGAACCTGGTGGGCCCTCCAAGTTTTTCGAGCCTTCCCGAGCACTGCTTCTGGTCAACTCGGGGCCTTTTGCCAACACAGGGCCCTGTTAGTGGCTGTGGGGCCCCGACGAGTGAAAGACACTGGCGCCAGCATTGGTCCTAACTGAGAAATGGGCCCTCAAGACCATGTCGCCACGGATCCGACTCGGCGTTACTGGTGATGTCTGGCCAACGTATACGACATTATCGGCCCAGGGATCTCTCATTAGCGCGCAGGGCCCTCTGGCTGGCATTGGAGTGCCCGGCCCTGCGAGCGGGGACCCCTAGATACGACGTCCGGCCGGCCTTTCGGGTCCTTAATCGTAAATCCCGAGGGACCCAAATGCCCCTTGGAACCTAAGGGGGAGAGGGCGCGTATTGCCTGTGCCCTCCCTCTTCTTGCGCTACTGCTCCCAATCAGTAAAACATTGTTTTTGTTTATTTGTGCGCCCTTTACTCTCGATTGTTCTGAGACTCTTCTCACGACTGCTTTCGGTTGCCAGGAAGCCCAATTTTGTCGCGTTTCATGTAAAAAACTGCGTCTTTTCGGCCGGTTGACCCCATCGAAGCATATGGGCCCCTGTGCGGCCCAAGGGGGAGGACCATGCGTCCCCTCCCCCTCTGGATCCGACCCTGAACCTAAGGTACGGGCACAACCAGGTCCCGGTGTTTCCGGGTGCCATTACCTATAACCTATTAACAACACTGTGACACAGGATCAAAGAACATTCGGCTGATTCATACACGACGGCATAAAGTCATTACGGCTAATTGACGTTCGATGGAAGAAAATTTTGGCAAAATAGCAGTCGATTAAAAACACATGGACCATTAGCATTCGTGTAAAGGCAATGTGGCGAATAAGCGCTCGACTCAACGGAGCTTAAGTAATTAGTAATGGTAAAAAAACCCTGCATTGTAAAATCTTGCAACTTTGCAAAAACGAAACGAGATGAAACCTTTAAATGGAAAACATCGGCGTGTGGTACCCATATCCCCATTTCACATCAATGCAGATTGACCACTTAGCATCCAGCAATTAAGCACCTGACGGCATCAACTAGTGCAAGTCTGCAGTTTGGCGCATCGGCACTAGCATGTCGGGAGTCGGGAAATTACCGTTCCAACTTGCTCTACGCTCTTCAAGAACTTTCAACTATTTCATCGACTTTTGGCGACTTTTTCTCTCCATTTTTGCTAATTGCCGTTTCACCTTTTCGAGACAGCGGCAAAAGGCAAGGCTGACTGTCAATCTGCAAGTCTGTCAATCTAGTAGCAGATTAATATCCAATTGCCAGTTGGATATTCCGGGGCGTCACGATCGCCTCCAAATTTGGTGTGCAGGGCCTTCTCAACACGCTGATTCCGAAAATCACTGTCTTTGGGGTGGAATTTTGCGTAATTTCCGAGTTATACGCCGCGTAACACAACAGTTGGATATTGCGGGGCGTCTCGATTGCCTTGCAATTTGGTGTACAGGGCCTTTTCAACACGCTGATTCCAAAAATCACTGAGTTCGGTGTGGAATTTCGCGTAATTTTCGAATTATACGCCGCATAACATCCCAATGTGATGTTGCGGGGCGTCTCGATTGCCTCCAAGTTTGGTGTGCAGGGCTTTCTCAACACGCTGATTCCGAAAATCACTGCCCTTGGGGTGGAATTTTGCGTAATTTTCGAGTTATACGCCGCGTAGCATCCCATCGTGATATTGCGGGGCGCCTCAATTGCCTTGAAATTTGGTGTGCAGGGCCTTCTCAACACGCTGATTCCGAAAATCACTGCCTTTGGTGTGGAATTTTGCGTAATTTCTGAGTTATACGCCGCGTAACACAACAGTTGGATATTGTGGGGCATCTCAATTGCCTTCAATTTTGGTGTGCAGGGCCTTCTCAGCACGCTGATTCCGAAAATCGCTGTCTTTAGGGCGGGATTTTGCGTGACTTCCGAGTTATACGACGCGTGACACCTCAGTTGAGCTTTGGAATATGTGTCCTGGAATTCGCCTTTGGGCCTGTCCGTATCAGTTCACTGGAGAAGGTCAGTTCGCGACATGTGAGTGATAGCCGTGTGGTATGTCATATCATTGACTTGGTGGTATCATCCAGTGGCATCCCTTTCAGCTTTGTTTCTCTGCTGACTTTTAAGGTGGTTGAGTAACAGTCCGACGTAGTCACGGGCATTGTTTGTCCCGACCAAAAACTGACGAGATGTCGCTGGTGACCAAACCAATCGTGCCTCACCGCTGGAGCATGAAGATTTGGGTGATGCCACCGTCTGTCTTATCTCCCAAGGACGCTGGTGACGCTGGTGGAACAGCGCATGCTACTTGTGCACGCCATGCCCATGTTGTTGGCTGGCCGGCCACATCAGCCCGCTGCTCCTGACCGCGGTGGAGACGCTGCACTTCGCGAGCCTGCCGGACGGCGGTGGCGACACACCGGTGGTCAGGGGGCCCGCCAGCTGATAGCCGGCCGGACGACGGCGTCGACACACCGGCGGTCAGCGGGCCCGCCAGCTGATAGCCGGCCGGCCGGCGGCGTCGACGCGCCGGTGGTCAGCGTGTTGAGAAGGCCCTGGAAACCAAATTTGGAGGCGATCAGGACGCCCCGCAATATCCAACTGTATATCCAACGCGGCGTATGACTCGGATTTTACGCAAAATTCCACCCCAAAAGCAGTGATTTTTGTAATCAGCGCGTTGAAAAGGTCCTGCACACCAAATTTCAAAGCAATCAAGACGCCCGCAATATCCAACTGTTGTGTTACGCGGCGTATAACTCGAAAATTACGCAAAATTCCACCCCAAAGTCAGTGATTTTCAGCATTAGCGTGTCGAGAATGCCCGGTATACCACATGTCAAGGCAATCGGAACGCCCCGCAATATCCATCTGGCAATTTGCTATTAATCTGCTGCTAGATTGACAGACGTGTATTTATTTTATGTCTCCGGACGCCAATTGAATGCACGCGCGACATACGCCAGTACAGTTACCTCTGACTTATGAGTTTTATTGCCCTGCTTCTGACTACACTTATTTCTGGCACCTAAGAGTGTTTGTTGTAATGTAGGAATGGTTCTTAATGAGGAGAATTTGATCATCGTTCAGTTCTGGCGCACAAGTGGCGTTTCTATTTATGCCTGTTTCGTACAGTGTGCGTGCTGCCACATTGCCCAAGTAATCAAAGGCGGTATTGGGCATGCATCAACAATAAATACATATACATAAATGTGTGTGAATGTTACTTTAGAAAAGAAATTTAGTTTGAGAACAAACCGGGTGTGGTGGCTTCATTCACTTTTTTGGTTGCAGAAACATTGCAATCCATTTATAAGAGCAGTAGCTGAAACCGCCTCATGTGTATATACTTGAACATTGTTGTTAATAACTGTTTGCATTATGTCATTGGTTGTTGGTTTTTTGCTTAGGTCCCACATCAGTGAGTTGACCTCACTATGAATGAGGAGTTTATTGCAAGGTAAGCTTTATAAACAGAATGACAATGTGTGATAAATCAACATTGGTTGATAGATCAGCCTCCGCTGGTTGCCTGCAGCTGGGGTTTTGTAATTTGCATGTCCTGTGGCTTTTTGGCATTAGTTGTGGTTAGTTAGAATTTAAATGTGCCATTTCTGCTGGTCTTACTTTTACATTGTAGGATACCTGATTAGTTGCATGGGATATTTTCTTCATAACTACTAACAAATCAGGCTTTAAGGTATGTTTGTCATGATGAAAGTAATGAATTAGCAGTGACAGCTTGTGCCATCAGGTCTTAACATGTGCCCCCTTGGCCAGTTAGATGCCCATTGCTGAGGTGGGGGTGGTCAACTTGATCCCCCTGAGATCTTGGGAACTAAAAGAGCTAGAGACACCAAATTTACAGGGTGTCTTGACCTGTATGTGAACTCATGTAGGTCAAAGTTTGAGATTCTTAGGTCATGACCTTCACACCAAATAAGGTCAAACAAGGTCAAATTCCAGGTTGGTCTATGAAGTGCCCCCAGAACCTAGGCAACTGTTTGTAGGCAAAAGGTTACAAGCCCATTTGAGGTCAGTGACTTTGTTTGACCTTTTGAAGGTCATGGTGACCAAATTTGTACAAGACTGCTCTGAGTGTTGCATTTGAATAAGCAACAAAGATTATGCTAGGCAGTACTTAGTACTTGGGCCAGTGACCTGTTCTGACCTCTAAGAAGTCAATGGAAGATGTATAATGTGGTTCCTGCTGTCAATGAATTCAAAATGAGCACCACAAACTTTCTCACACAGCAAGACCTAGAGTAACAAATTAGGTTGGTTTTGACCTCTGTCTGACCTTCATACCTGACTTTAGGTCAACATAATGTCCTCATTCAATATTTTTGGTGCCTTAATGAAGGATCTCAGAGATGTATGACCTTGTCAACATTTCCATTCATGGTACCAGATTGGATGATTGCCTAGAAATTGCCTTTGCTGAAGACATGGCCTGACTGACCTGCCATAGGTCAGTGACCTTATGAGGTACATCTAAATTCTTCATGTCATATGATTGGCTATTTAATTGTCTACAGCTATGCAAAATTTGGTGTGGCATAGCCGCGCCATTCGGAAACCATTCTGGAAAACCCTTCGGGGGTCAACTTGACCCCCCACCCGAGAGTGTGTTAAGTGTAAGATGTGCTGATTTATAGATTAGTTGATTCTTCAAGAGATTATTTTTACACATTGATGCAGGGTTGGGTTTTGCATGCAATAAGATATCCAGAAAAGCTGGATTTATTTTACTTTTTCTTCTGTTGTAAACTTTTGAAGACATTCAGCTTATTTGACATGTATGCAGTTCATATGGAAATAGGAAAGCTATGGTTTGTGGTTCTTGTGGAAAGCTATGGTATGGTTCTTCAGTTATACCACAACAAATTCATGGGTATAAATCTGTGGTTACAAACCTGTGGTTTGCACATGTTTAAGTGGAACAGAGGGTTGTAAAGCATGACAGACCTTGCTCAAAAGTTGGTAAGGACCTCATCTTCACATAGAAGTGCGAGAAAGCACGCCTTATTTGTACAAGTGGTGTAGCTAAGACTAAAGGATTGCCAACCTCATGCAGATCATTTAGAAATGTTGTATATATGTGGACATATGATAACTGGTCTATGATGACTAAAGACATAGTCAATGGGTAGGGCAGAAGGTGTGGCTCCCCTACTCCGTTGAGGGGTTTGGGCCTCTCCAGCTGCTCAGAGGGCACCTAAAGACATGATCTATGGATCCTTCTCTTGATGTTTTGACATGAAACAATGTAAATTCAGTTTTTGTAATGCTTGTGGGAGGATCTAGGGCTCTCACTTAGCCAAAAGGATTTTGCTGGTTTGAAATGGAGCCCAGTTGTAGAGTGAGCTGAATCTGATGAGAAGGGTGAAATCCATCTCCCTAAGTGAACCCAGATTGTTTGAGCCTCCCAGCAAAATTTTGCCCCCTTGGAAAAATCATGGCTATGTGCCTGGTTCTGATGTGAGTATGAGGGCCACCAGTACATGTGACAGGCAACAGACTGCAATGTGAGGGAAAAGGGAGTATGGTTGGGCTCCATTATGCTGCATACATGTGGGGTAACTGACATCTTGAGTTCTCATGCTCTCATGTATCATGAGAGCATGCTGAGATTGTGATGTGAATGATCTCACATGAGTGATGTGAGATTATCAACATGCAATCCCACAGTTTTGGTGTTCAGCAGCTTGTGTGACAGATGTGCAAGGGACAATCAATCATGCATAGAAACAACTGTTAATGTCGGCTTGTCCCCTCCACAGCGCACGGGAGATCCTGCAAATGACACAGGGGGGCCGGTCGCGCTCGCTACCAGAGAAGGGGGACAAGATTGCCCGGTCCCTGCCGCTGGAGGATGCTTGGCTAGAGTCTCAGATGCTGCGCGCCAGGACAGAGGAGCTGCTCGCGCTCGTCAGTGAACCGCTCGCCGCTAAACGGTACGCCAGGACGGCACAGACGAGGGCCATGTCGTGGGATGAGCAGAGCATGAACCGGTGTCGAGTACATTGGAACAACTAGTAAAATACTGTGCGCAACGGTGTTAGAATCGGATACAGACCACTGTGTAACATCTGGTATCCCGTAACTATTTGATGCTTTTGTTTATCTGGACTGAAAGGGCATACGCCATATTCGTGTTGGACTGGAAGATCATACAGATGAGTTTACAGCTATGCCTTTTTAAAGACTCAAACCCTTCATGTGTTTGAGCTTGATGGCCATTACCATGTGCAGGCCATTTCAAGGTCCCTCGGGCATGCATGACGTCACAGTAAGTTCATGTGAACCTGTGAATACGGCCACCTCAGTGGCCATGTAGTACTCAAGGACAAAACAAATATGATCAACGAATCATTATCAGTGGTGTCTGGCCTACGCCAGCACTATCCGCGGTAACATCGGAGGCCAGCTGGCCTTCAGCCGAGTTATGGCGTGAAGCGCAATTCTCGAATACGAATTGCGTTTTGTGCTACATGATACAGAAAATTGGACAGTGGTGCGAGTTGTGATAGAAAAAAGACTGGGGATAGGGTCCAATAATGGAGCGCGACAACCGGGTATGCGGATGCAAGAAGACGATATAAACTCACGGACACTACGAAAAGGGTTAAAACACGAGCGCATAGCGATGTTTGGGTTCCAAAAACAAGCACGCATCATCAAACATTGCCACGTCTGGGAGAGTCGAGCCGCTATGGCCGACTCGGCCCGCTGCCTACAGTGGTAGTTCTGACACAGCGAGCCTGGCAGCGACTCTGACGTCGTGAATACTTCCCACGACTTAATCAACCGACGATGCACTGAGCAGCGTATTTACTAAATGGTGACATTTTATTTCTATAGCATTCTTTCACGCTTGAAAGCAAACCAGTAGTTACAAGGGAGCTTATTTCATAATATCTGATGCTTGCCTCAATATCTTCAAATGTGTAACATTCCCGTTAAAGCGTATTTGCTTAGGTTGTTCCGTTGTGTTTATGCATTGTCAATATTTCCTCAACTAGAAAATATCACAAAATGTCGCGTGAATCGGGCAAATCAGCCAGAGTAATGTAATGTCAACTTTCGACACATCTCGTACGAACACTGCAGCTGCGTTTACTTGTAAGCAAGACCCATTGACTGTCATATGAAACCCACAGATCCAACACGCCACCGGTGGGTAGCGAGGTTTTGATGGAGTCCTTCCATATGACGGTGCCCCACATTATCTTACGCAGCCCCTATGCAACTCTGTTTAGCTCCCTGTTCCTCTTTATCGCCCTCAGCAATGTCTCTGGCAATCAGCATTACTTGTCGTCCGATGGTTATCGGTACCCAGCCGTCATTCGCGCAGTAATCAGTATGTGAAATCAGTTTGTTGGTCCTTTCGCTTCCTGGAAAACGCCACAGCCCATTAGTGGAACCTGTTTCACCGAAAAGATGCCCATCGCACCCGTGCATTGGTTTGAGGACATACCAACTTATTTGTGTGCAATACGTTCCCGGCTGCTCGGCAGCTTTACTTCGGCTACAATATGCCGTTGTGGCCGGTGGCTGCTGTAATGTTACCTGACCTGACCTGACCTGGCCTGCCGGAGCTGTGTGGTGCTGTGTGCCGCGGTATACCTGACCGGATTTGACCTGCCGGCGCCGTGTGGGCGGTGTGTGCTGCGGTGTACGTGACCTGACCTGACCTGCCGGAGCTGTGTGGCCTATGTGTGCTGCGGTGTACGTGACTTTACCTGACCTGAACTGACCTGACATGACCTGTCGGTGCCGCGTGGCCGGCCGGCTAAGCTGCCACTGCCGGCTGCAGGTCGGAGCTACTCACAGCCGCCTGGGAGCCAGCTCGAGATGTCGCTCGTCTCAGCGCAGTGCCTGGCAAGTTCTGGCAGTACATGGGGTTCGAAGAGAACGGCTGCAAATTCCTGCATTGGGAGGAAGTCGTCATGCTGAGTGAGATGGTAAGAAGCGGATGTTTTTCGACGCCTTGAGATCACTGAGTATCTTGGCTCCGCCTGGGTTTTTCATGGCGCGTGTCCATGTCGACACGTGGACATATCGTCGTACCGTACAATGTCCTATGCCTGTTGACGCACCAGTTCGGCACCGGCATGGTCCCAGCAGCGGCATGGCATCGCTCGCTGCTCGAACCGGCGGCCCCAAGACAGTTTTCTACTTCTGGCCATAAGGTAAATGACAACCCAGAATTGTGTTGTTCAAGGTCTGGTACAAGCAGGCAAAATAGCTAATAGATGTTACCGTGATAGGGTGAGTGACAACCGGTCTCCAGTTCAGCGGAGCGTGCACTCTGACCCCCTTTTCCGCCCATAAACCTTTACGATAAAACAGTACCAAAATAGTATTACAGATTAGGGCACCGGCCGCCAGCGCCTGCCTAGCTCGCCGGGCCGACTGTGTAGCGCAGCTCGGACTCGGTGCCGGGCCCGCCGGCTGGGCTCCGTCGGGTGTCGTGCGCCGATGTCGGTGCAGCCGCCGGCCCGGACGTGTCAAGCCCCTCCTCCCCCCCCCCCCCGCCGGCCCGGACGTGTCAAGCCCTTCGCTCGCCGACCCGGACGTAGCATCCCCCCGCCGGCCCGGGCGTGTCAAGCCCCCCCCCCCCCCCGCCGGCTCGGACGTGTCAAGCGCCCCCCCCCCCCCGCCGGCCTGCACGCATCTCCCCGTCTGCCGCCGGCCCGGACGTGTCTCTTCGCTCGCCGCCGGCCCGGCTAAGGGCGCTGTGTCGGTGGTGCGCACCGCACCTGTCGTGTCAGCGTGGCCAGACCTGTGCCCCCCGACTGGCGGCCAGGGCCTGCTGCGTCTGACGGCGGAGGGCCAGCCGTGCTGCAGCCAGCAGGAGGTGCGCGCCCGCCTGCTGGCCGGCTGCGACGCCCGTGAGCGGCGCTACCGACTGTACGCGCACCTCACGCGGCTCGGCTACCGGCCCGTCCGCCACCAGGGGCCGCTGGCCACAGGTGCGTCTGGGCCGACCCCGGCAGGCGCGCGTCTGCCGGTGACGCGGCCGCCGTCGGGCCCCCGGCAGGCTTCGCTGGGCTCCGGCCGGCCCCGGCCGGCCCCGGCCGACGCACCCCTGGCCGCATATTGTGGACTGGGCCGTACGACGTCAACACGTATTTGAAGCTAACACTGTTCACGCGCGTGTGTTCCCAGTTTGCGAATGCGGAGTCACAATAAAACGAAGTCAGTGGCACGGCTGAAGGTGCAGTCGTTCATAGTATGCATGAACCTTTTGTATTGTGTAGACATCGATCGATGTAGAGGTATGGTTTTGAACGTTGGCTGGTTGATGGTGATGGTGAGTGGTATAGTCCCGTGAGTATATTGTTTGCCGCACATACTTCGTCGCTGCATTCTTTACTAGTCATTGATTTTTGTAGCGGCATCGCTTACTTTGGGTGTAAGTCTGAAACGTAATCTCATGGTGGATGAGATTTCGTTACGACGTTTCAGAGTATGAGCGCAAGATCCGTCTCGACCAGTACCTCCGAGAGCGCAAGGACAAACGTCACCGCACGGCCTCGCCGGGCACCAGCCCGGATCCCAAGGTGCTGCGAACCAGCGAGGATGCATCCAAGGGCTCCAGTCACGCATCTGAGCGGCAAGACCAGGAGCCTGAGCACACGTCGGATCTCTTGGGGGTGACGCGCAATGACGCCGGAGGTGGCCGCGACCTGGCGGTTTCAGGAGCCGTCGGCGCCGAGGACTGTTGTGCGCGGTCGTCGGCGAGTCCGACGGAGTGCTCGGAGCGCCTCGACGCCCCACTCGACGCCGGCCAGGCGCGAGGCGGAGCACCGCTCAGGCAGCTCGATTTCACCGAAGAAAAGCGCCTGTTGCCAAACGTAATCGGGTGCGCCACCTGGGTGAGGATGCGGCCGCCGGACAAGGACCTACTGCCGCCTAACGTCACGCCGCGTAACGAGTACTTGCTCGACATGGCCGCCGTGCGGCGCAGTGTGCGTGCGCCCGTCTGCAGAGAGGAATCTCAGCGGGACAGATATCCGAGCTGCATTCCCGTCTTGAAGACGCCTGCGCGCAACTGGTCCGAGTTTAAGACGTGGGTGAGTGTTTTAACCAGCGATGTGTTGAGTCTCTAAGAAGTGAGTTTTGGTCAACAGATCTTTAGTGCGGGTGGTTAATAAAACCTGCCGCTTTAGCAGCGGTTTTCTTTTTCCACTGACAAGCCTTGAAGGCACGTACGGTATGACAATTCTTGGACCGGCTTTAATTAATTCTGTCTAATAGCCGCAAATTTGATGCTCCCAATAGTTCAGAGCCATCGTGGCATCGTTCTCTCGTACCTAAACTATAAGTGATATCAGTGCTGGCTGCCAGGCCGAGGCCCACGTGTGTACCGCGCCGCCTCCGCCGTGCAGATGGTCATGCTTCCGTCAGCGGACGGCGACGGGTCGAGCCTGGTGCCGGCCGGGTGGCGCGGCTCGGCGGCCGAGCTGCTGTCACGTCTGCGCCTGGCGCCGCCCCCGCCGCCGCCGGCCCTGTCCGCCGGTCTGCCGCCGCCTCTGTACGACGTCTACGGGCCGTCCGACCCCTACCGCAAGTCACTGCCGCCGCCGCCCGAGTTCCGCGTGCTCATCGTCAGGTGAGGGTCGGGGTCGGTGCCATCGTCGGCCGGTGACGGCAGGCTGCCGCCGAGGTCGGTGCCAACGTCGGCCGGTAACAGCTGGCTGTCGCCGGGGTCGATGCCATCGTCGGCCGGTAACAGCTGGCTGCTGCCGGGGTCGGTGCCATCGTCGGCCGGCGACGGCAGGCTGCCGGCGGCGCCATCGTCGGCCGGTAACAGCTGGCTGTCGCCGGGGTCGGTGCCATCGTCGGCCGGCAACAGCTGGCTGCTGCCGGGGTCGGTGCCAACGTCGGCCGGTAACAGCTGGCTGTCGCCGGGGTCGGTGCCATCGTTGTCCGGTAACAGCTGGCTGCTGCCGGGGGTCGGTGCCATCGTCGGCCGGTAACAGCTGGCTGCTGCCGGGGTCGGTGCCAACGTCGGCCGGTAACAGCTGGCTGTCGCCGGGGTCGGTGCCATCGTCGGCCGGTAACAGCTGGCTGCTGCCGGGGTCGGTGCCATCGTCTGCCGGTAGCAGCTGGCTGCTGCCGGGGTCGGTGCCAACGTCGGCCGGTAACAGCTGGCTGTCGCCGGGGTCGGTGCCATCGTCTGCCGGTAGCAGCTGGCTGCTGCCGGGGTCGGTGCCATCGTCGGCCGGTAACAGCTGGCTGTCGCCGGGGTCGGTGCCATCGTCGGCCGGTAACAGCTGGCTGCTGCCGGGGTCGGTGCCAACGTCGGCCGGTAACAGCTGGCTGTCGCCGGGGTCGGTGCCATCGTCGGCCGGTAACAGCTGGCTGCTGCCGGGGTCGGTGCCATCGTCGGCCGGTGACGGCAGGCTGCCGGTGGTGCCATCGTCGGCCGGTAACAGCTGGCTGTCGCCGGGGTCGGTGCCATCGTCGGGCGGTAACAGCTGGCTGCTGCCGGGGTCGGTGCCATCGTTGGCCGGTGACGGCTGGCTGCCGGCGGTGCCGTGCAGCTGGGTGTGCGGACCATAACCACCGGAGCGGCCGTGGCCGGGGCCGGCGCGTTCTGCCGGCTGTGGGTACTGTAGAGGGACGATCTCTTGTGCTGCTTCATCCAGCGGACAGTCTGCACAGCCGCTGGAAATGTGTTCTTTCTTGTAGTTGTTCTCTTTTCGAACGTTCTTGTTTGAGATTGCGTCGGCTAGGTTGGTCATGTCGCCGCGAGTTAGGCCTGACTGCAGGCCTGTGTTCATTGAAAGCATCGAAACGCCGGATATTTTCCACCGCTGTGCTCGGTGGAACTCTCTAGTTTACTGTTTTTACGTGCTCCCCTGTTCATTTTTTTGTTTGTCATTGATATCTTAATGCCAAAGATGCGTGACTTAGGCATGCCAGCTGGCAGCAACATTGTTAGTTTGCCAGTTGATGTATAAGTCTTCTGTCCATCTAACTAGATCGTTTTCGAGCCTGTCACCTGGGATGCCAGCCTTGTCGGTGCCTCAGGCCGGAGGTGCCCTGCTGTGTCACACCCGGCTGATGCGTGCGACCCGAGGTGTTTCTGTGGCCAGTGGCGGCGACTTGAGTCATCCATATGGGGCTGAACCTCCAAAATTCGGTGCTGGCCCCGCCCACAACCTAGCCTAACCTGAGTAATCTAGTCTAATCCGACTTAGCCTGGCCTAGTATAACTGCCCGGTCCGGCCCGGCCTAGTCTAGCCTAGCCTAGCCTAGCCTAGCCTAGCCTAGCCTAGCCTAGCCTAGCCTAGCCTAGCCTAGCCTAGCCTAGCCTAGCCTAGCCTAGCCTAGCCTAGCCTAGCCTAGCCTAGCCTTGCCTTGCCTTGCCTTGCCTTGCCTTGCCTTGCCTTGCCTTGCCTTGCCTTGCCTTGCCTTGCCTTGCCTTGCCTTGCCTTGCCTTGCCTGCCTTGCCTAACATAACCCAACTTGACCTGACCTAGCTTAGCCCGGTCACGGTGCAAACAAACACTGCGGTTGGCGCGTTCTTAAAACCAATGTCTATTAGTACTACCCAAGCTCAATGTCACCCGACATGTCTCACTAGCTGTTGCAACTTTCGGAAGCCATGTAGTCTTGAGGTGACCTAAGTGGCCTAAGGTCCCCCATGGGACTGTATCTGTGGCTGGAGGTGCCTCGTTCCAGCGGCGCCTATTGCAGGCGCTGCCTTGTTTGACTCTCGCCTATCACCTGAACGCGCTCTGTGGTCCTTACATGGCCAGTGCTGGTGACTGGAGGTGCGCTGTCCGATTGGTGTTCGTGACAAGCACGTGTGACGGGTGGCCGTGGCCTGATTTGACCCTGTGTGACTGACACGCAGACCGGAGGACGAGCTGGGTGAGCTGGCTGCGCCGCCGGAGGACGGTGTGCCGCTCTGCGCCGCCGTCCTAGCAGACACGGGCTCGCCGGCGCTCTACACTGTCCAGCGGGGCACCCTGCCGCTCGAGACGTCCGTGCTGCACCAGGCGCTCTAGGTCAGGTCTGGGTGTCAGCCCCTGCCACCAGGCGCTCTAAGTCGGGTTCGGGCATCAGCCGCTGCCACCAGGCGCTCTAGACCAGGTCTGGGCGCCAGCCGCTGCCACCAGGCGCTCTAGGTCGGGTTCGGGCATCAGCCGCTGCTACCAAGCGCTCTAGGCCAGGTCTGGACGTCAGCCGCTGCCACCAGGCGCTCTAGGTCAGGTCTGGGTGTCAGCCGCTGCCACCAGGCGCTCTAGGTCGGATCCGGTTATCAGTCACTGCCACCAGGCGCTCTAGGTCAGGTCTGGGTGTCAGCCGCTGCCACCAGGCGCCTTAGGCCAGGTCTGGGCGCCAGCCGCTGCCGGCGCCGGCCGTGCTATGGCGACGACAGCACTGCCTCTACCGCAGCCTGCCACCGAGCTGGTTGAGCTGGCGCTCACCTGCTGCAGGGTGGACCGGCGCTTCCGCTTACTATCCAAGCGCAGCATGATCTGCGGTCGCTGACCTGAGGCGTGCCCGTGGTAGCTGAGCATTCAGTAGGTGCTGCCAGAGGCCGGAGGCGATATGCGGGTGGATAGTTTTTCGAGGCAAACTAGGGTGCAGTGCGGCTGACCCAGTGAACTTTGTCCTGGTATTGCGTAGAGCGTAACTTCTGTTTGTTGTTCTTTAACATGTGATTTGATCTTGTCTCTTAGGAGGGGCAGCTACGGACTGACTTTGATCATTGCCAACGAGGATACTTCAGCGCTACGTTTGTTCCCAACCAATTCTGATTGTCGGTTGGGTCGTGGCAACTGCTCGGTGCAAAAAAATTCCCCTGCGACGCTTTGGTTCAGCGAATGGGAAGATGTATTCCGTGCATCAGGGTAATGCATACCAAATACATTTTCCAACCGTTCTTTGCGTGTTTGTCTTCCATCAGTTTTCAATAAGCCATGGGAGGTGCTTATCACGGATCAGTTGAGACACAGACATTAGTATGAACTTTTATCCCCACCCCAACTATGATTGCAGTTGGCAATTTATTCAGCGATTTATTCAGCGTCGAGTTTCAATTTCACTGAGCAAACGTCAGTTGTCAATTATGGCGCGTGAACACCGAAAAGGGCGTTTATTTTGCAACATTTTGTGACCTTAAAGGTCAAATTCAGAAAAAGGCATGAAGAACTCCATATTACCAAAAAGTTGGAGGTGGATTTAACTATTTAAACATCAGAATATTCACCTGCGCAAGAACTACCAGCCGTCAAAAATCCTGGCTTTTCAAGGTCAGTCTTTGAAGTTAAATTCAGGTTCAAATGACAAACTCCTTATCACCAAAAAACAGCCGGCCGATTGGGGATTTTTAAGTACCAAAATAACCATTAGCGCATGAACTATCGTCTGTCAAAAAAACCTGACCTGTCAAGGTCATCTTGAAAGGTCAAATTCAGCCTCAACTGACGGAGCACCGAATATCACCCAGAAATTACTGGCCAATGCAACTTTTCTCAAATCGGGCCCAAAATTCTGTGTCCCGAGGGTCCAAATGTGGGCGGGAGCATGTGTCCCCTACGCCCCCTGCCTCACATGTCCTCACATGTCACATGTCAGCCTCATATGCCTGTACATGGAATGATGGTGACATCACCCGCTGCTCAGCTCCTGCCTTCGGGCCTGTGTGCCCGCAATCGTGTGCGATTGTGTTGGCCGGCATATCCCGTAAAACCCTGCGTGTCCCCTTATCGTAAAGAACGAGTCTGGTACCCACTTTGTCTCTTGCAGCTGGTGCTGGTGCTGCAGCTCAGTCTCGGCAAACAACGGTCTGGAGCTCTCGTGCGTTCGCTCTTAGGCCTATGCAGCTGTACTGTCAAAACACGTGTAAAGAAGCATGTTGAAATTGGGTTGAGATAGGACCGGATTAGAACAAGAAAGGTTTAAAAGACCTGAGAAGGACCAACCTTGCAGGACCCACGGTAGTCATGCAATGCCACCGTGAAGTCCCGAATCGCAGTCAGCCGCACTGAGGCCTTGAGGTCCAAGGCGCACACGCGCGCTGCCGCCTGTGAGAGATGAATGCTGTCTATTGGTCCTCCCACATCTGTGGGAGGAACCAGGCGGACCACGTTTCTCCGGTCACACACGGAGACGACGCCAGCGAAGCGATGGCGGAGGATGTAGCGGCGGTAGCGGAGGATGCAACGCAGTGTGGCACCGCAGCCCGCAGGGGCCCGAGGGGCCTCTTTTTGTCTTCTGGGCGGCGGGACGGTCTCCCGAGAAAGGGTAACCTCATATCTCGCTCCGTACAGCCGGCTCGCTGCCTTCGCCCGCTCCTGGTGCGCCAGACGCGCCTGCTTGCCTGGCGCGGAAAGGTGCCCGAGCGGTGTGCGTATTGTGTTGCCGGCGTGGCGCTCTGGATACACTGCCAAGCTCAGAGATGTGAGCCAGGTGTGCAGGCTTCCATTTCCTGGCGTGGGTAATGGATGACCAAGCCGGGAGCTGCTGGTCGCGTGTAAGATTCTCATCTGAACTGAAAATGAATCTTCCCAGTGATGCGTTGCTGGAGACGGTCATCAAGCTGCCGAAACTCTGCTGTAGGCGGTCATCAAGCTGCCGAAAATATGCTGTACGCGGTCATCAAGCTGCTGAGAATCTGCTGTAGGCGGTCATCAAGCTGCCGACAATCTGCTGTAGGCGGTCATCGAGCTGCCGAAAATATGCTGTACGCGGTCATCAAGCTGCCGAGAATCTGCTGTAGGCGGTCATCAAGCTGCCGACAATCTGCTGTACGCGGTCATCAAGATGCCGAGAATCTGCTGTAGGCGGTCATCAAGCTGCCGACAGTCTGCTGTAGGCGGTCATCAAGCTGCCGACAATCTGCTGTAGGCGGTCATCGAGCTGCCGAAAATATGCTGTACGCGGTCATCAAGCTGCCGAGAATCTGCTGTAGGCGGTCATCAAGCTGCGGACAATCTGCTGTAGGCGGTCATCAAGCTGCCGACAATCTGCTGTAGGCGGTCATCAAGCTGTCGACAATCTGCTTTAGGCGGTCATCAAGCTGCCGACAATCTGCTGTAGGCGGTCATCAAGCTGCCGACAATCTGCTGTAGGCGGTCATCAAGCTGCCGACAATCTGCTGTAGGCGGTCACCAAGCTGTCGACAATCTGCTTTAGGCGGCCATCAAGCTGCCGAAAATCTGTCGAAGCTCTGGGGTGACGTGTCTGATCACACAAGGTAGAAAAACGATGATTCGATATAACGGCACGAACGGCACGTCTTTAACCACGGGACCATTTCTCGGGCACAGGGCTAGTTCTGATCGCTGTGTTGATGACTAGGACGCAGGAATCCGCAACACATCTCACCAGGCAGTCACGTGATTTCACGAACAAGAAACGAAATAAGCAGAGGGATTGTATTGCAGGTCAAAACCCATACAATCACCACTGGCCATGATCCGCACGTTCTTGTGTTGTCGCCTCTCCGTGTACCGGGACGCGACTTAAACGAGTGGTCCATTAGAACGAAGGCCCTTCGTTGGCGTATATCTGTATTTTTGACACTTAGGAGCCGAGATAAGAGCTTTGGGTCAGCTAACCCATGCGATAACTAAACTCGCTCTCCCGTACTTCTGGGCGTCTACGAAGACACGAAAATAGACTACATTTAACATAAAGCTACCGCGGCACTGACCTCAGCGAGCCCGGGGATAACGCCAGTCATGAAGACGACAGACTCGATGAATCGTCATGATTTTTTCATTCGTGACCGTGACCAAAGTATTGGGATGTGGGTGGCCTGGTGCCAGCGGGACTCCGCGCCGCCGATATCTGAGTACGCTTTCTACCCGTGTCGTGCAGCTATAGCGTAATCGGCCGCTCTTACATTTCTAATGATAGTGGAATGGACAATGAAGAAATATTATGCTAACAACTGACCACGTCAAAGTGATGTTTTTATCGCGTTACAATGAGTCGGAAAGATAGTATCTCATCGAATAGCCTGTTAGAAGTAATTACATTTGCACATGAAAGGAAATGAATCAGCGCTTCATGAATCGGTGGTTGCAACCTTACAATCTTTAGGAGAACCGGATGGTCTGGCTGAACCCAGCTGTATAAACTGAAAATATTCATCCTTGTTCGAGTAAGCTCGCTTGACCTATATGTTCGCCATCAAATATTGCGATTCATGTACCAGTTATTCAAAACTGCATTCCCGACGAAAATGGTACGTGCCTTTTACCTTTAAAATTTGCTTGTACTTTTAAACTTTTGCTTGTAGCTTGTGCTTTCAAAAATTTTCACAGCTTGTGTCTTGCTACCGTATCGGTGACTTATGCAATTCCCAGAATTAGGGGATTCGGGCGATGTTAAAAAGAATGTCCCACCTTTGTATGGAGTTTGGAACTGAAATGACCATTTGACAAATGACCAAATGACCAGAGATCATTGAGTGCAGCTCACAGCCCTGCCCCTCTTAAGACCCTCTGGTTTCTAAGCTTGACTCCCGCGAACTTATGCGGCCTATTCCGTGTAGGCTGCTTCAGGGTCACCCAGGTATGCATGACACCATAGAAACACAACACGACTGCCATTTCATTGGTCATTGGGTGCTCAAGGCGATGCAAAAAGTAATTATTGAGTTGTTCGTGTCTGGCGAGCGCCAGCACGATTTCTTGCACCAACAGACTTCAGTTAGCCCTCAATCAATGTGATGCGTTCACAGCACCTTTTGAGCACCGATCACGTTCTGTGCATGCAAGGATTTGGGTCGTGCGCTGCCCAAATTCCACTGCAGTGGTGCGAGTTATGACGGAAATAAGACGAAAAATCTGATCAGTTAAGAAAAGCGCCATAACCGAGCAAGCGAATGCGCTTGAGCAATATTAAATCACGGGCAAGGGCGTCACGAGAAAGGGCAAAGACACGTTCACATAACAATATCTGGGTTCTGCAAACAACACACCGATCAACAAGACACCTGTCGACAGGTTTAAGTACTACAAGTGAGTTAGCCCGTTCGCTACGGTAGCAG